CTCGATTGAAACGGTAAAAGAGAATTCGCCGAAGGTACTAAACGCCATATATGCACGGGCCTACGAAAAGTGTATGGAAGATTGGGTTAAGCGTTGGCATATGTGTATCGCTTCAGAAGGAGCATATTTTAAAGGAGATTAAATAAATTTGGAAAAAAATTTAAATTTGTGTGTTTTATTTACAAAATCCGGGTACTTTTTGAGCTGGAGGTACATCAATGCAGCATGGATGCAATAATAAATTTGTTATTATTAAATAAGGGACGGAAAATAGAATTTTATTATCTATATTATTATTATTATTATTATTATTATTATTATTATTATTATTATGTCGTATAAAAAAACAATTAAATACAGCGAAATAATAATTATTGAGTCCATTTATAACTGAATGAAACACTATAGTTTTTTCATGTTTATAATCAACCCTAGATGATTAGAAGACACCCAGCTATATGAATGAAGGTAGAATGTATTATTTGGAAATATCCCAATATCAAGTGGTAATACAAAATCCTGGCCTTACTGGAGAACACAGAAAGAATGTAGTTAAAGGTGCCATCTATTTTCAAGCAGACACATATTTACGATATATGTTCTCATACAGACTATGTTGTTGAGATGGTGACACAGACCATGGTGTTCTGTCAAAAGTCTACCAACAGCCTAACCTATGTTTGGTCGCAAAATAATTTAGTAAAAGTTTTTAGATAGAATTCGAAATAAACATAGACATGAAATATTCAGGATTTTTCGCAAATGCTTCGAATATTAAAATTGTAACGTTGATTTGAATTTCAGTAATAAATAATTATTACCAAATAATTTAAAGCATTTAGTTGTAATTTATACCAAAATTGACTGCAGTTAAAATAAACAGCGAAGTAATCAAAATGTATTTATTTTTGCTAATATTAATGATACCTTTAAATTATTCAGTAAATACTATTTAAATAAATATTAATTACTCGCCTATAAAATTTGTTATGGATGTTATTGGTTATAATCTGTTTTTATGTAAAGTAGTAAATTTTAAAAATAAATATTTCAAAATTATTTATTTATTTATTTATACGGATTCCCGAATTGCTATAATAATTAAGGATTCATGTCAAACATGTGCTATTTACTACTATATTTATTTATTTTTTTTAAATGCAAAACGTTATATGCAAATGATGTTAAGTCACGCAAGTGAGTTTAAAGTATTTTCTAGATTTTTAATCAACACTTTTAATCAATGGCACATTGTCCTTTATGTTGTTCCATAAAATTATTTTGTATGCCAGAGATGTTTAGTATAGCAATTAACTTCGAAAATCATCTACTCAGTAAATTAATTGGTATAGAATTCATACTTGTTCCGTTTTGTCCCTTTTGTACTGAAAGGATATCTCTACGTAATACGTAGTCTTGTATCCTTTGTTTATAGTGTGTGTGGCATGCTCATTTATCCGCACCAGTGTGCACATGTAAGAGGATTTGTTCATAATGAAGATTGAGACTGTTTTACCACGTTTTTAGTTAGCATTTGCATTTTAATTGATTTCAGTTTTAATTAAAAGTAGTTTGAAATATTTAAAGTGGTTCTCTTCATTACTGATAAGGTTATAGTCAATTCAAACAGATCAAAATGAAGATTGGATGCATTAAATGGAGTTTAAATTAATCACATAACGAGTATGTTCATCAATAATAAAAGCTGCTTAAAAATCTGTAAACTGTAAAACAACATAACAATTCCGAGATGGATGGGAGTCCATAATATGGAAATTAGAATAATTGATCATAGTACTCAATCGTAAGTTGTAGAGTTTGTGTGTTTCTTCATTTGTACAATAAATTTCTATTGACAATTTTAGCATCTCTCATACTATTATCTTGTTCGCTTACTGTAAGAATTCTATTTACATCTTGTAGTTTGGTAATAAGAGCACTTAAATAAGGTATATTTGATAATGTTGCTAATTTTGCAATAAGTAAATAAAACGTATTGTAATAAATAAAATAAGATAATGCCCTTTAAAACTAAAACTGTACTCTTTAACGTAGTGACACATAACATAATTTTCAACGAAAATTGTACTTATAAAAGCCGACTCCTTTAGTTTTCGATAATAAAATTTTCACTCTCTGGATTTACAAAGTTTTGAAATGAAAAATTTAAAAACAAATGAAACCCCTTAGTGCAATTTTAAACACACATTCATATGACGAATGGTCACGGCAATTTTATGATGACCCAAAGGCAACATTTTCAATTTCCGACTTTTACTACTATATTTGTGATTGGATATATGATAATTTTGTTTGGATATATGATTGGTCCAAATTTTGACATTTATTACTGAGCAATACTGTCTTAACCAACGTGATGAGAAGCAGATAGCTCGAATTATTCAATTTAATTTTTAATGTCGATAACGACAATTTCTGTTGATTGTCTGTATAATATAGCCTGTACCGAATTAAGATAAAGATCATAAATTTTTAAATTTTACTATAGTTTTTAATACATTTTAATTAATTTTAAAAAATATAGACATTAATACCATGTTTATATCCATCACGAACTTTGCTGGTGGAAATCGATTCTAAGCTTGAAACCCGTTACCAAATCTTACTTTGTAATATAAAAATAGTCGCAATTTTTTAATGCTATCATTACTCACGGTCACTATCCAATAAAATTGAAGACATCCTTAATCATAATAATGCACACATTCTCCGCAAAGTGGAGAATGATTCTAAATTATATTTTTTTATGCACACAATTTTTTTCTATAGAAGCTTATTGTCATACCTCTTAAACCTTTTTGAAAAAAGTCTTCTTTTGAAACTGGGACCCTTCTAGAGTGCTAAAAAACTCTTCCCCTCAATTATGGTACAACCGAGCAATTAAATAGAATAACAAATGGAATAAGATACGCATTTGAATTCAGAGATTACATTTTCTGACAAAAGGTTGAACAAAGGTCTTATAAACAAAGTATGCAATATATTACTATCAAACGTTTACTTGGTTCTAGAATCGTATCTTAGAACTAGATGCTGTAAAGTTGAATGCGAATAAGTTAGATTTCCAAATTTCCCTTAAATGTTCTTATCTCTCGAGCTAATATCTTAAATCCTTTTTATATTTACAGTACGTATCTGGTATTTCTACAATTAACCAACTTACTGTTCCCCGAAGACAATGCTATTAATAATATTAATATTAAGATATTAAGTATACACATAGATGATGCTATAGCTAGTTACCGACTGCAAACCCACTTTGTTTTGGTTGAAAAATGTTTATTAAAATTGGGGGTTTAATAGTAAGAAACTAGAAAAGCCAACACGTCACCATCACCCTTAAAGTAGTTCACCATAATTTGGAAGACTGGATACAACTATATAAATGGAATCTATTTTGTAAACGACATAGACATGATTAAAATTAATGGGCAAATTTCTTCGTATAAAAAAATAACAGTTCAGTGACTTTTAAGGTAACTATAAATTTTAATTCAAAAATATATTTCTAAAGGAAATACATATGGTCAAAGATATATCTAAAAATTACCGCGATTTGTTTTTAAGAGAAGTGATAAGATACTCATCCATAAGGTGTCTTCATATCTTAATTCATATATAATTATCTTCATCAGATAATTACTAATGAATTACTATATTAAGACAGAACTACGTGACTCTTCAATTATGGTACATGTACGAAAAATATCAAGCTATATTAGTTATATTAGTTAGCAATTCTTTCATCAGGTTTACAAAAATGGTAAGAGTAGTTTAAAAGTCAAATTGGCATAACGTTGGGCTCAATGTATTTCTACATTTAAATATGACACCAGCGTTTCTCTACTTACGAATGAACTACGATCTGTACGAGCTTTATCACAACATCGATATAATTCAGCGAATTAACATCTAGCGGCTTGGTTATATCGTGAGAATGGATAAAGATGTTCCAGCGAAAAAGGTATTTGAAGCAGTAGTTGGAGAAAGAAGGTGTAGAGTTAGAACGTAAACAAGTTGAGGGAGCATTAACCGGACTTGATGTACGAAACTGGAGAAAGCGAGCACGCAGCAGAGGTGCCTGGAGAGACATGCTGCGTCAGGCCGAAACTCGATAACGGGTTGTAATGGGAACATAAGTAAGTTTCTCTACTTAGGTTACAATGTGTAACTTCAACAAATAGGTTTAATATATGTCAATAATTTTGATTAGGAGTCTTACTGCGTTTATGTAGTAGAGTTCATTTCATTAAGAAAGGTGACAGAGTTGCTATAAATTACAGACTAAAATAAAGAACTAAAATGATTTTAGTATATATATTATTGTGGTATTATTGTCTTTCTTCATTTAAGTTCTCTATATCTTACCTATTCAATTCAGCTTAAGACTGGCAGTATTCAACTTATAGATGTGAGATGATGGATTTCACTTCCGTACTACTTACAACGAAATAATTAATAGGTATATATTTTCACACAATTGACATAGGAAATTGTTGTTTAATGAGAAATTTGGAATACTCTTTCTATCTTCAATTATTTTAATAGGTATTTAAGTAAGTAATTTATTTTTAATTCTAATCAAATAAACAAAATATAATTCACCAGAACTAAATTAGCTAAGTCAATAGACGTTAATTAAGGTATACACGTTACCTTTCGTCATAATTACATGAAGTAATTTTCGACGAAATAAACAACAAAATCAGGAAAATGCAAATGAGCAAATTTCACATGTTTAATCTTGATTAGTGGAGCTACTTAGGAACGCCTTGCATCTTCATTTAAATCATCGAGGGCGTAAATAAGCTTTAATTTAAAATATAATTAACTTTCTGACGAAGTTGCAAGTGCCGCAGAACGATTTCCTTCTGTACGCTGTTACAGCATTCAATATTTTCCACTTAAATTTGCCAAAAAAATGTGTTCCCCTCTTCCAAGCCCTCGGGGTGTCTTATAACTTAACCACTCAACTTACCTCCCAAATGAGTCGAAAATCTTGTTGTTCCACACGTAGAAGCTCGCAAGTTGTTTTCGTGACTACGGTACTGTCACGTGGCAAATCGTGCAGAATTGATTCGCCGAAGGTGGCGCCCACTCCCAGATTGCAGAGTGTAACCGGAGCCTGGAAAGATAAAACATGAAATTGAAGTAAAAATGTTGAAATATTTTTATTTTGGCTAAAATTAAGCGAATTCAAGCTTTTCTTTTTCTATCTCTGGCACAGCACAACAGTAGAACAGCGGAACGGCAGAATGGCACAATTAGCAGAAATTGTCACATGTGAAGATAATACAGAGACACAGACTCAGCGCGGAATTTTAATGCGAAAGTGTAAATATTTGCTAAAAGTAGCAAAGTTTATTAAAAGTTTATAAAATGCAATTTTCCTAATCGTTTAATTTTGTGGCGCGTGTTTTTATTTACTTTGTGGCAACGTTGTGTTTCTGCTCTTGTCTGACTTTCCATACACGATTTTAAATGCTTGTGAACAAGGGAACTCACACAAAACCCTGTCTGGAGAATCTGAGATATTTGTGCCATTGAGGAAAAATGTTTGTTTCTTAGTAAGCAATTTCGATATAATAATTTTCAAAAGATATTTTTTATCTTCGTTTTTAATATGTTTTTGTCTATGTATTTGCCTCTTGTGACATTTCTAGTACGATAGTTAAGCTAATTCTTACAGTTTCACAAAATTAATTGTCCCATAAAAATAATAGCTAATTTTTTATATTTCATTTCAGTAGAATCTCTTTTTTTTGTTGTTGCAAATATTCAGCAATTAACAGTGATTTTTAAAATTTAAAATTTAAATTAAATTATTAGCAATATCTACGAGTAATACTGAAGAGATTGCAGCAAATTAAATTAATTAAACTTTTAAAATTATAATAAAGCGTTTTATCTAATTTAGTTAAATGACCGCAAGTGTTATACTAAGTATGAAACATTTCAGATACAATGCCATAATAGTTTAAAATTAAGTCACTTACTGCTGCCTCACTTAAAATACAGAAATATTTTCTATTAAGAAAATACTAATCTTCACTTTGTGTTACATATATACAGGGTGTTTTCTATTCTATTTCTAAGTACTGTAACTTCAAAAGGTAATGCTTTGTTAGAACAAGCAAAGAAAAGAGGGTATAAGTAAGGGGGTTTCATAATCAATATACATTAAGACTGAAAAGTTTTCGGAAATTCTCATTTAAAATTCGCGCGCTGTATATTTTTCGATATTTTAAGTTTATGTAGTTTGGCAGCACTGTCCTTAATTACTATGCCAAAAATGAGCGCGATCTGTCAGACAGTTCGTTTACGGCAGCTGTTGAACCCAGTTCACCTCAGTAGTGCGTTGCGAAATGTCTTCGACGGTCGTACGACCGTCCTGAAAGGCTTTGTACCACTCATAAACTTGAGTTTTCGATAAAACTGATTTCCCATAAGCCTTTTGTAGCATTCGCAACGATTCTGCACACGAAATTTCGTTCGAAACACAAAATTTGATGCAAACTCTTTGTTCAATATTTTTTTCCATTGTTTTTTCCGCAACGCACTACTGAGGTGAACTGGTTTCAACAGCTGCCGTAAACGAACTGTCTGACAGATCGCGCTCATTTTTGGCATAGTAATTGTCCTTAATTGCTGCAAAACTACATAAACTTAAAATATCGAAAAATATACAGCGCGCGAATTTTAAATGAGAATTTCCGAAAACTTTTCGGTCTTAATGTATAACAAGATATCGTGTGAAAACATTTTTACGAAGAAAAGCAAATCGTGAAATACTCTTTAAGAGCTAAAAAATGATTAATTTGAATAGTATAAAAAACTCAAATTATTTCATGGGAAATGCGCTTAAGAAGAGGGACGCACTAGCAACACATACAGAATACCCATAAGAATTGAAGATATTGTAACAAAAAAATCTCTACGAAAAAAAGCAAATCATGAAATACTCCTTAATAGCTAAAAAATGATTAATTTGAATAACTTAAAAAACTCAAGTAATTCCATGTTAGATAAACTAAAGATGGGGGCTACACCAGGAACGTATACGGAATATCAATAAGATTTAAATATATTGCAACTTGGCGTCTCTTATGTAAAAAAAAAAGTAACAATATAGAGATGCATTGAAAAGTTATCAGTGTTATAATAGCTACAAAGACAGTCATGTTACAAGATTAAATATCGCTTTCATTGATTCTTGCTGTAGCTTAAGTTTACAAAGAACATGCCTGACAACTACTTCTCACTGCTCCCTGTATACGAACATAGATAAAACATGTTAGGAACTTACTTTTTAAAGGTTCTTTATTAGCTAAAGCACGTTTTTTGAAAATCGAGCATCAAGGGTTTCAGTTGGTTTTAAGCAAGATCTTATACGGTAATATAATGGGCCAATAAGCCTAAGTGAATGTCTACGATTACAGTTATTACCAAATCAAAGCTATAAGTTAGACCCATATCATATAAAATTTAATTTTCGAATACTTGATACGAATAAGTTTCTTGTTATTTTTATTAATTATTAAGAGAAATAATAATTAACGTTGAAAGTCATACAATTTTCAAAAGGAAATAGTTATTCGACGGATTCGAATAACAAAGAAAAGACAAGGGCAAAAATTTATTTTAATTTATAGAAATTTCCTAAGACCACTGATGAGGAGTACATTGCAATACTCGAAACAGCGTCGTTAAGTCAGCCAAATTTCAATAAATTAATTAATAAAATTTTTGTCCTTGTCTTTTCTTTTCGTCTAACTTTTAAATAGTTTATTTTCGTCACTCTCGGCAAGAAAAAATTAACATAGGGAATAGTTGTTATTTGTGCTACGTACAGAATTGAGCAGATAAGGTTTAACTATTTATAAAGTTTTCTATAGTAATAGAAAAACTAAAGATTCTATAATAAATTTCAACTTAATCGGCATATATTTTTCAACAAAACAAAATTTAATAGAATTAAAGAATAAAATCAGTGAAGAATAAGGAAATTTTCTTTTTGATTAATAATTCAAATGATTACTTTTGACTATCGATTCTAAGTCTATTCTATTCTTTTATAAATAGAATAGAAAAATGTTAGGGTTTTGACTTCTTAGCAAAGCATACGTCTGTGACCACAGCAAAACTTTTGTGCTAACGATTGATTAGATTTTCAAATAATGGCTAGAATGTCTTCCGTTGAGTACATCAAGCAGAGGCACTGGTTTTCGGCACAGTAAACGATATATCTTTATAGTAACAAGAATCACTTTTTTACCTGGTATTGTTTATATGGATATGAATATTAGAAACATTTTTGAATATACTGCAAATTTTATTGTAGTCTCAAATAAATTAGCAGAATATTTGAAATATGAAGAAATAAGAGGTTATACATAAGTGCTCATATCAATCTTAAATTAATGAATTGTACAAGCCTTATAAAGAAATAATGATTGCTTTGCAGAAGCATCGGGTCATAATATAAATTTAATTGTTTAATTTTGATTGTATTTACTTGATAAATTTGGTAATAAATTTTAGGTTGTTGTAAAATTTAATTAATTATATTTTTTTAACACATCTAATTGTTTGCATGCATTAAAAGTTTAATAAATATGATTTGTTAACCAATCTTAGGCTACAAATATTAAAATAATTAATTTAATAATACTTGCAACACATATCACCATCATTAATAGCGCAACGATTCTAGTTGAATCTTGGTCTTCTTTATAATACATATACTATATGTTTCTAATGATTTCGATTCGTTCTCAATTCAACTTAAACGAGAGCTTAAAACTATTGTCATATTAATGAATCAAATATAGTAAATATATAGAAAATATTATTATGGTTATAATCTGTTTAAAAAACCATGTTGATATATCTTTATAATATTTATAAAGATATAAATAATCTGTTTAAAAAACCATATTGATATATCTTTTGGATATAATTAATTTAAGTTAAGATTTTGTCTTAAGTATGCAGAAGTAGTTTCTTTTAAATAAGTTTGAAGTTTGAAAAAAATATATACAATTATTAATTTAATATATAGCTGTGGTTTATGCGTTCGTTCTAATTAATAACACAAAAGAGTAATGCATGTTTATTAATGAATAACAAACATGGACAAAGTTTAAAATTTGAATAATTTGCATTAAGTATATTATTAAGAACTCTAAATGTCTTCAAGTGCTTTGTGGAAGTATTAAAATGATATAAATTAAAAATTAAAGTAAGTTAAAAAAATTAGCTGAAATAATTATGTTTATTCCGTTCATTCAAACAAGTGCTTTTTAATTTTGTGGCATGTTTTCACAGTTAAAGTATTAGCGAGACTTCCAGTTAATTTCTGAAGAGATCTCATTGCGATACTTTACGAGTGACGAATGAACAAATAAAATGTGGATTATTGTTATGTTTAATGCTCTGGCACTTCAGTTGTGCAAAACTAGGTTATTTGAGATTGTGACCGTTGATTTTTTCCAAAGGTTTATTGTTGATTTTCACATATTTTTTTTTTAATACTCAAAAAATAATAAAACTTTTGTTACGGCGGAAATTTGTTCTGTCATGTTAGAGCTGCAAAAATCCAATAAAAATTTTAATGTGTTTTTAATGAAGCCTAAAGATTTCTTGTTGAAAAAAAATAATAATAAAATCTAAGTGCAAACAAACATGTCATAAGAAGGTTAATATATTTTTAATATAAGAAATGCCGTTAGAATATATCGCAAAGTATTGGTATGGAATGAGTGAAATGCGCTCTGGCAAGAGCAAGAATGTGAAGGAATTTAGCTTGAAGGTATGTCTTGATATTAAATTTAATTTTTATTTTTAACAAAAAACATTGTTTTTCCGTATGAATTTTATATAATATTCAGAATATTTACAGATTACGTTTTGTTTGTGATAAATTTTTAATGATACCTGTCTAAATTGTTGTTCCGACTGTTCCACACTATACCACCCGCGGCGTGATAACATTGCTTATCGAAATAATTACAAATATTTTTATTATTATTTTAAATTTTATTTTAGAAATTTGATGTTTTAAAACTTTTTCTTGTTTATTTCGACGGCATTTGTAATTCCACTTTTATGCAGCCACAATAAAATTTTACCAAATGTTTTGGTTATAACCGCCGGAGTAACAAAAAAGATTAAATTAATTGCTTGTGATTAATTGCTGTTGGGATTTAATGCCAAGTTAACAAGTTAACGAGATTATCTAACCAAAATTTTAACTTTTTAGAGTTGGTAATGTGAGTTGAAAACTTTCTTCATTGACGTTTACGACAGGAAAAATAAAACACCGAAATTATTAAGCAGAAAATTGATATTTTGTTTGACATATTTTTATATTCAAGAGTATTAATTAATTAATTAATTAATTAATTATATATTAAAATTAATTACCTATTTTTAGTTTTGTTAAGGAAGTTATTATGATTTTTGTTTTAATTATCACTTTCCGCATAAACGCTGATTATAAGATTTGTAATAATAAGTTTCACTGACATATTTTTTAAGTATTAATTATTTAAGATATATCATATGAGTTCAAATCGTGATTAAAACTGAAGAAAATTATATGAATTTATTAATCTTGTATTTTTTTTATAAATATATAAATTTTTTAAAACGTTTTGATTTTATTTTTTGTAATTCTATAAATCTTTTTCTCAAAACTAACCATTTTAATGATAATAATAACAAAATATTTTTTCAAATACGATGTCTAAATTAAAAAAATTATTAATAAAAATAATATACGATAAATATTTATATGTAAATAAATTTAAAAATTTTTTTTTAAGATGTTCGCTCTCATAGCATGATTCATATAAACTAAATCTACTAGAATACAGGGTCTGATTTTAAATACCAATAAGGTCTGATCTAAAAAATCATTCAAAAATAATAATTTCGTTTCAGGGGTGGAGTTTTAAGTACTACTTAAATTCATAAATTCTCTTACGACAAAATCAACATAAAGATTTGACTCATCTGGTAACGCTAGGGGTCAATAGATCTATGCATGGCTTACTTCCAGGTAAATTATTCTTTTAATTCATATACCTAAGATATGTTTATTTAAAAATTTATCGAAACAATATTATGCGTTTAGCTACTTTAATAATTATGTACATAGAATATATACATTGCTATTGAAAATTATGACATATACTAAACGTAAGTAAGGAATTCTGCAAGATTCAAAATAATAGGTAAAAATATTGATTTAAACGAATTATTCGGATTATGTATGAAATATTGTGTTGTGATTGAGAGTAAGCATAGATAGAATGATACCAATATCTTTTATTCTTATTACAGGACTAGGAATCATTCCAAGGTTATGTATATATTTTAATAATTATAATAGAAAGAGGACGTCATACGGAGTAAAGATAAATGATAAATTTGCAAATTTAATCACAATGAGTAACTCTTTAATACGCGATCATAGTATGTTTGGGATTATTTTATCTTTTGTAGAAAATAGCTTTTAAATTTTATAACTGAAAAATGAATTTTCTTATTTAGTAGAAGCATCAATGGAGCCTTATTCCCACATAAAGCATTTCACTAAACAATATTAACTCTTTCGTATTTCACAATTATGTTTATTTAATATAAAGAGGATCATGTACCTAACTATTATCAACTGCTTTGAGATACCCTTAGACTACAGACAGCATTATTTTAATTTATTTGATGTTAAAGTTCGGTATAATAGTGTACATAATTGTCTTGAAACATTTTATATATGTTAAACTATTCTAATATATAGTCTGACGTAAATGCAATTAACAACATGGTGAGAAGAAAGAGTAAATAAGACAAGCAATTTTTGTCACAGACAGTAATATATACATATGGTAAGTTGAGCAATAAAATTTGATATGTATAAAGATCCCGTCATAGGTCCTAATTAAAGGTACTAAGAATTTTAAATTTTGAATTTGTTTCTCGTATTAAAAATAATATTTGGAAAAAAGTTTTTCTTTGTCATAAGACGTATGCAACGAAGAGTTTTGTAGGGGATCTTAACTCTTCGATATTTTTAAGAATACGTATTGGGCTAAATACATTTGATA